CAAATAATTTTCCCAAATCAGTACTCGTGTTCCCTCAATCGCATCCCCCGGCTATTACGACCGCCCCTAAGCCAATGGCGGTGGCGATCCAGCGGCCGACAATGGCTCTAAAATCGGAAAGCTCCTTCAGGCGCTTGACCGACGCTGAACTTCAGAGGAAGAGGGAAAAAGGCCTCTGCTACCGTTGGGATGAAAGGTATAGTCCGGGTCATAAGTGTAAAAATCGAGAGCTGCAAATTCTACTGGTGCAGGAGGAAGTAAGTGATATACTAGAGGAAGGTTGTAGAGAAGAAGAAGAAGACAAGGTTGGGGATATGGTAAAGTTATTAATTAAATCAGTCGTAGGGCTGACATCTCTAAAGACCATGAAGCTCGAGGGTAGCATTATGGGGCAGACAGTGATAGTATTAATTGATTGTGGAGCTACCCACAACTTCATCTCTGTTGAAGTAGTTCAGAAATTAGCAATACCGATTACGGGTTCAGCGAGTTATGGGATTCTCATGGGAAATGGACTGTCAGTGAAGGGTGGAGGGATTTGTAAAGGAGTTGTGGTCTCCCTGCAAAATATTGTGGTGGTAGAAGATTTCCTGCCAATGGAATTGGGATGTACCGACATTATTCTTGAAATGAAATGGTTGGAATCATTGGGCAAAACGCGAGTGAATTGGGGGACCCTGACTATGCGGGTTAAGATAGGAGGGGAACCTGTTATGCTGTAAGGTGACCCCGACTTAGATAAGTCTCAGGTGTCGTTGAAGACAATGATCAAGTCGTTTAAGCAGGGGGAGCAGGGCATTTTGCTGGAGCTTGGTAATGTTGGAGTTGAGGTTGGGAAGACCGTTACTGAAGTTCCCAACATTTTTGATGAAGTATTACAGCAACATTGCAAGGTCTTTGAAAGCCCCAATGAACTTCCTCCCCAATGATCGAAGGATCATTCCATTATACTGCAGCCAGGGGTGGCGCCGGTAAACTTGCGCCCATATCGTTACCCGTACGTGCAGAAGAATGAAATTGAGAGGTTAGTCAAAGAGATGTTGGCCGCAGGGGTAATACAGCCCAGTTTCAGTCCATTTTCGAGCCCCATCTTGTTGGTTAAGAAAAAAGATGGGAGTTGGAGATTCTGTATAGATTATCGGGCGTTGAATAAAGTGACGGTGCATGATCGTTTCCCAATTCCAGTGATAGATGAGCTGCTGGATGAGTTACACGGGGCGAAAGTGTTTTCCAAGCTGGACTTGAAATCTGGATACCACCAGATCAGGGTTAAACCAGAGGACATTCCCAAGACAGCTTTCCGTACTCACGAAGGTCACTATGAATTTTTGGTCATGCATTGACCAATGCACCAGCGACTTTTTAGTATCTGATGAATGAGGTGTTCAAACCTTATTTGTGAAAATTTGTACTTGTCTTTTTTGATGACATTTTGGTCTATAGTCGATCAATGGAAGAGCACTTGCGACACTTGGGTTCAGTTTTGGGGACCTTACAAGACCACAAGCTTACGCCAACAAGAAAAAGCGTCTGTTTCACCAAATGGAAATTGAATATCTGGGCCATGTGATTTCTGAGAAAGGGGTGGCTGCTGATTGGTCAAAAATTGAAGCAATGGTCAGTTGGCCGAGTCCAAGTAATATCAAGGAGTTACGAGGGTTCTTGGGCCTCATAGGATATTACTGGCGCTTCGTGGATGGTTATGCCAAGGTTGCTTGGCCCTTAACCGAGTTGCTTAAGAAAGATCATTTTTGCTGGGATGAGGAAACAGAAGCAGCCTTCCAGAACCTAAAATCAGCCATGATTAATGTTCCAGTGCTCGCCTTACTCGACTTCTCACAGGACTTCATGGTTGAAACGGATGCTTCTGGTCTAGGGGCAGTATTGATGCAGAACAACCACCCGATTGCATATTTCAGCAAGGTTTTACCCTAGGCCGCCCGGCAGAAATCAGTTTATGAGAGGGAGCTAATGGCCATCGTGTTTGCCATACAGAAATGGAGTCATTACTTGGCTGGACGACATTTTGTGGTAAGAACGGACCAACGAAGTCTTAAGTACTTATTGGAACAACGTTTGATCAGCGAAGACCATCAAAAGTGGCTGATTAAAATTATGGGGTATCAATTTGACATTCAATACCGGCCGGGACTAGAGAACAAGGCTGCTGATGCCCTATCCCGAGTTCAGCCAGCCCTAAGTTTATTAGAACTATCCACTCCTCGCGTTTTGCAGATAGAGGAGATTAAGAAGGAAGTGGCAACTGATGACATTCTAGGGAAGTTAGTGACTGACCTGCAAACGGGAGGCAATGTAAAAGCTGGATATAAGCTGATTGAGGGTGTTTTATGTTACCGAGGAATGGTAGTTCTGCCCAGTCAGTCCCCATTCGTCACTCTCATGTTGCAAAAGTGTCATGACTCTAAAGTAGGGGTCACTCCGGATTCCTCAAGACATACAAACGGGTCGCAAGAGAAGTCTATTGGCTGGGGATGAAGAAAATGGTGACGGAGTATGTGGCAAGGTGTGGGGCTGGGGATGAAGAAAATGGTGACGGAGTATGTGGCAAGGTGTGGGGTGTGTCAACAGAAAAAATATGTCGCTTTATTGCCTGGGGGACTCTTGCAACCTTTACCGATCCCAGAGTTAGTTCGGGATGACATCTCCATGGATTTTATTGAGGGCCTACCACGATCCAAGGGTGTGGATACAATCTTGGTCGTTGTGGATCGATTGAGTAAGTATGGGCATTTCATTGGATTGAAATACCCTTTCACTGCCCCTATCATGGCTGAAATATCTATACGGGAGGTAGTTCGCTTGCACGGCATGCCACGCTCCATTATATCAGATCGAGATAGAATTTTCATGAGTACATTCTGGGATGCCTTATTCAAAGCTCAGGAGACTGCTCTCAAGTACAGTAGGGCCTACCATCCGCAGACCGATGGTCAGACAGAGGTCCTCAATCGGTGCCTGGAAACGTATTTGAGGTGCTTTGCTTCGGGTAGGCCTTGGGTATGGAACCAATATCTACACTGGGCTGAATTTTGGTATAATACTTCCTTCCATGCCGCTACCAAACATACCCCTTTTCAGATTGTATATGGCCGAGATCCTCCTCAGATTTTGGCATTTGAAAAGGGAATGGTTGCTAACTCAGCAGTGGAACAACTGTTATTAGACCGTGATGCAGCCTTGAGGGATCTTAAAGCACAGTTTTCTAAGGCTCAAATGAAAATGAAAGAAGTAGCGGATAAGCATCGCCATGACATTCAGTTTGCTGTGGGAGATCTAGTTTATCTCAAACTCAGGCCATATCGTCAAAAATATGTGGCAAAACGACATTCTGAGAAGCTGTCACCACGGTATTATGGTCCGTTCGAGGTCGAGTCAAGGGTTGGGCAGGTGGCTTACAAACTGAAACTCCCTGACACTGCAGCTATTCATCCTATTTTCCATGTATCCCAGCTCTGGAAGGCCATTAGTGATATAGAGCCAGCGTCTACACTTCCTCCTCCACTGACTGATATGGGGGAGTTCATTATGGAACCGGAAGCCGTGTTAGGAGTTCGCCCTAATTCTACTAGGGCAGCAACAGGACCAGATGTCCTAATCAAGTGGAAAGACCTACCAGAATTTGAAGCAACCTGGGAGCCCTTTGAAACCATCAGACTGTAGTTTCCTAGCTTCCACCTTGAGGACAAGGTGGATTTCGGGGCGGGGGAGATGATAGGCCCCCAATCTGATTCACCTATGCGAGAAAAGGGAAAAAGAAGGGCACATCCAATATAGAAGGCGACTAGGACATTTAGTTTATTAGCCAGGGGTAAAAGGAGTAATAACTTGTAGTAGGAATTCCAATAAATAGAAGGAGGTTGGCAAGTTTGTGGCGGGAAACCACTGGGAATTCAGTTGGGG